AGTGTTCTATATTTTGATAGGAGTTATGGCTCCACGGGTATGCACATTTGTCCACACTCCTGGAACTGTATGCTTAAAAATCTGTGTATTATATGTAAATTAAACCTCAATAATAATAATAATAGAGGGAACAGCTTAAGCAAGGAAGGGAATGAATTGGCTCCTGTAACTGAGAAGTCCAGAGGAATGACTTCAGGCCTGGCTTGATCAAGGGCTCAAATGCTGTCACTAAAGCTGTCTTCTCAGGTCTAGGGTGGTTCCATTTCTGGGGAGATACTGCCCTACTGCTGGAAATATGGCTACTACCGTCTAGTCTTCTATCTTTCTAGGTTTAAGGCCAAGGAGGGCCTCTTTTTCAATTCAGTAGTGGGGATTGAACCCAGGTGGGCTCTACCAGTGAGCTACATCCCCAACCCTTTGTTTGTTATTTTGAGCCAGGGTCTTGGTAAATAGTCCAGGCTGGCCTAGAACTTTCCATCTTCCTGCTTCAGCCTTCTGAGTCACTGGGATCACAGCCAGGTGCCACTGTGCCCAAGTGACGGCAACTTCTTGATGAGCTGTGATTGAGTCTGATTGTCACGTCTCATGTGCTTATCCCTGAACCAGTCGTAGAGTAAGGGACATGCCTTTCCAACTGGCCAGGCATAAGTCAGATGGTTCTTCCTCTTGGAAAGCGGGTAAGAGAACAGGTACTTACCACCCCTGACCATCATGGCTCCACAGTGGGAGAGGGGCATGGATCACACTGTTTCGCAAAGGATGTGGGGTAACGCTGGGCCGCCCTGAGCCAGGGAGCACGTGGAGGGATGCCTGGGGGTTGGCGGGGAAGCTGCCCCAGCATCTGCACACATTCCTACCACTGTGTCTGCCTCATAGCTCATCTCAAAGGAGCAGGAAGGATTTGAGCTGCAGACCTTTACTCCAATCTTTACTTCCTTCTGAGTCTCGAGTAGCTCACCTTGTCTCAAAGCTGTGAGAGCTGAGGTGCTGTGTCCAACATATGAGGGTCCACATAGGTGTCCAACCCTTGGGAGATGTCCACACAGCTAGCGATGATGCCAAAGAGTCCCTCAGTGCTTGCTTTTCTTGGTGGTTGCTGTCCAACCATCCTTTCACATTTTCAAGACTGATGGAAATGCTTGGACCTAATCCTGGGAAGAGAACCTAATAGACTCTGTGTAGAAGAAAGTCTTACTGTGTTATAGGAGTTTGTCAGCAGTGACCCTAGAGGACAGGACAACTCAGTTGGTGCCCCTGGTTCCTGGTGCAAGCCTGTGTTCCAGTTTTGGGGCCCACTCTACATTCCTATGTGAATGAGACCCTGCCACTAAGTTGCAGGGCCTGGGCTGGAAGCTGCGTATGCAGGGCTAGGGCCTTGTTACTAGGCAATACCAGGCAGGAGAAATGTGTGGGTAACCACTGAGGGGCTCCCTAGGAAAAGAACCCCCTGGAAGGGTCTAGTGATTGATTACTCACAGCCTCTGATGATACCAGGGGGTTTTTCTGGATGTCTTGCCCAGATTTACCTTACAGGAAAATTTCCAAGCTGCCCGGTGGGCATTTCTGATGTTCTTAGCAGGGCCCAGCATTCCTACCTGTCAGTGAGAAGTAATGTGGTTTTGGGTCCAATTACTCAGTCAGATCTAATCCCAAGCATTCCTATGCCTTATCTAGAAACTTGACCCTGCATCTGTGGGCTGGTTAGGGCGGAGTGATTCCAGAAGTTGGGTAAAGTATAGGAGCAGGAAAGAGCTCTTATCCGTATGCTATGATGGCTGCTTATCTGGGAATGTACATAAAAGAATTAGTTATTAAAGTGTCTTTGTAAAATAAAACAGAGCACTGGTGAACCATGTAATTCTGATTCAAATTGAACCAGCCCTTTTCGGAAGTGGAAAGGAAAGAGACCCACAAGTTATTTTACCCCTTTAATGTTCAATTAGTTTAACATTAAGGCCAATTTTATCTTATATCTGGAAAAAAAAAGATAATTAGTTTTCTGATTTTAAGTTTAAATAAGGGATTGTTTAATGGTTTAAAATGTACTAACTTCAAGATTCATCCCAACTCAGATTCTGAATATCTGTGTGAATTGAACTCTGGGAGGAAATGTTTTTGTAAAGTTAGGGAAAACTAGGTGTGGGGCCTGCGTGGGGAATAGTGATGACCTGCTAGAAAGTGAGAATGAGAAATCTTTGTGGAAGGAAAAATGTAATTCATTTCTGATTCACCAGTCCAAAAGGCCACTGATAATGGGGACTTCTGAGAAAGGTGGCTGCAGTAACCTTGGTAACCTGCCTCTCCTCTTCCTGCTGGGGTTCGGGCTGTGGGCGTGGCTCTGATTGAGTGAGGCTGGGGAGGCTAGGTGTGTGCAGAGCCTGGACTGCAGTGACGCAGTTGGAGAGAAAGGGTGATCTCGTCATCGAATACTGCCTGCCAGGTCACACCCAGGGAGTAGCCACAGCTGCCAGTCCCGCAGATAAGCTTCAACAAAGAATGTGGTCCTGACTTAGATCTTTGGGCTTACACCTGTGTGGGGTGGAGAGCACATCATTAGGCTTAAATGAAACATTGTTTCTGATCTTAAACTTAATAGGATGAAACATTGTAACCCAAATACCCCAGGAAAATATAGGCAGAGAACACAAGTAGACAATTCACTGAAAAAGAAATCTAAGTGATGGTTACTGTATTAAAAAGTATATACCATCACTAATAATGAGCATGCAAATTGGAAGAATGAGAGGTTTTTATTTTTTATTTATTTCTTTTTAAAACATTTATTTTTTTAGGTGTAGATGGACACAACACAATGCTTTTATTTGTACGTGGTGCTGAGGATTGAACCCAGGTCCCGCCCGTGCTAGGCGACCGCTCTACCGATGAGCCACAATCCCAGCCCTGAGGTTTTTATTTTTATTTTTATTTTTTTGCCATACTGGATATTAAATCCAGGGGCACTTTATTGCCGAGTCATATCCCCAACCCTTTTTATTTTTATTTTTGGTACCAGGGATTACCTCAGGGGCACTCAACCACTGAGCCACATCCCCAGCCCTGTTTTGTATTTTATTTAGAGACAGGGTCTCACTGAGTTGCTTAGCACCTTGCTTTTGCTGAGGCTGGCTTTGAACTCATGATCCTCTTGCCTCAGCCTCCCAAGCCACTGGGATTACAGGGGTGCGTCACCACCGCTGGCTCCTTTTTATTTTTTATTGAGGGGTCTTGCTAAGTTGCTGACACTGACATTGAATTTGCAATCCTTCTGCCTCAGCCTCCTGTGTCTCTGGGATTACAGGCATGTGCCACCACGTTCAGCTAAAACTAATACTTTTGAACTTAACAAATAAAAAGGCAGTCAAGCTCAGAAATGGGCAAACATTCTGAATTGATATTTCTCCAAAGAAGATCTATTAATGGCCAATAAGTCTGTGAAAAGACTTTTACTGCTTACCTGACCAGGGACAAGGAGACTGACATGGGGCCAGAACCCTTACCTGTGCAGGAATCCTCAGGGCCCATATCCCAGCTGTAGACTCTGAAATGAGCAGAGTGATACTTTATTTTTTGGTGAGGGGGAATCAAGCTCAATGA